GTTACTAGCAAAAATTAAAATCCTAATATCGCGATCAAATCTCATGCTGACTCAAGGAAAGGCTTAAAAGGTGTCATATGTTGTTGACCACGCCCAAAAAGTGGTCCAGCAGAACACTGATGCTCTGAGGTTTTTCAGAAGGTTTCTGGAAAACCTTCAGACAACGCCCAGCTCACATTCACCTTTTTCGTTTTTGATTATGCTTTATGAGCTGTCCTGAGCCTTTCCTAAAAATTTCCTTGAGTCAACATGAGATTTGATCGAGATATAAGGATTTTTATTTTTGCTAGTAACAGGCGAAAAACGGGTTTTTCACAACAATGCCTCTGGCGAAGTTATATTCATTTCTACACAAAAACAAATGTTGCTACTATGCTCAGCGTAGTCGATTACCTATAGTCCATGGCATTTTGAGATTCCCAGGGATGTCTGCTCGGAGATAGACACGTGCTCGGGGAAAGCGAGCCCTGCCCGAACGACGATAGCTAGAGAGCCGGGAGTTGCATAATTTTGTAGAGTAACGTCCGGACTATCTACGCATGCAAAAACATGACTAACATTGTATGTTAGTTTTCTGAGAACGGAGCTGGTTTTCCAAAGATCCTCTGGAAACCCGATCTCTGGAATTTTTACAAAAGTTGCTTCCGCTTGTGAAAAGTTCTTCTCAAGTCTTAGCTATTGAACAGCGAAAATCGCAGATCTCTATCTCATTGCTATCGAAAGTTATTCAAAAAGTGGCACCCGGCACTGTATTTTGGTATGGATAGTAGTTTTAAGTTAGTCCCTTGCAAACGACTTCCAGAGACTAAAAGAGATCGTTTTCTGAAAAACAGATCAGGATCGTCCACAACTCGTGTACTTTAAACTAATATATAACGATAGAAATGGGTCATCTGTAATCAGCGTAGATTTAGTTCGCGGAGTTGATGGAATACGAACTAAGTTTACATTGAGTACTCTCCTCCATGAACATATAAAAGATGAATATTTGATGAAAACATAAAATTTGCTAGTTTCTGATTTTATTCTTAAACAGAAAAACTTTTGCTCGTATAAAGATGTCTGTTAAAAAAACGAACACATTGGAAGTATACATATGTCAATATGTGTGTCCACAATACAATCAAAGGAACCGAAATTATACAAAATAAAATAAATTAGAATTGAAATGTTGAGCTGCTCCCTAATCAATATAAAGGGTTACTGAATAAATTGACTGATTTATGAATTCTTTTATTTTATTCAGAAATGGGCAAAATGGGTTACTTCACCTAATATATGTTTTCACTAGGTTTCTGGAACTGTTTTGAAAAATAAATGTTGCCAGAAGATTCATCGTAGCCAATTACCTATGTTTCCACTCGTTTTTGAGATCACCATATCTAAAGAAATATTGATCCTGGGGCTTCGAGGAAATCCAATGTCATGCCTAAACTATAAAAAACTATGAGTTCGCTTGATTCTCGTTTTAAACCGACACTTTGGGCCATCTACGTATAAAAAGAAATTGATAGATTACTGGTTTAGTTCTGAGAGATGCGAAGTGATTTGTCAGAGATCCTTTGTGGACAAACACTTAGGCTTTAAATGTCGACAGATGAGAAAAGCACCCGTATTATTGGTTGCTACACCCTTTCAAGCTCAGCGCGCTGTTTACTTCCGTAAATTGGAAGAATTAAGGTCAACAAATTTCGTGATTTACTTTCACGATGAGACCTGGGTAAATCGCAATGAAGAAATAACCAACGTCTGGTTTGATGAAGCAGGTCATGGACGATTACGGAACGGTGAAGGAAAAGGTCAGAAATTAGCTATCAGTGGTTTGGTGAGCTTAAATGGTTTTGATCTAAGCACATTGGATATATTTAAATGTCATGAAGTTCACAGTATGGACAGTGTGCATTTCACAGCAGGGATAGAAAGCGCTGCAAGCACACTACGCACAGAACATGGTCGTGTAGCTAAAATTGCTATAATTGTCGATAATGCAACTTGGCACAATAAACTGACACCCGAATGTGACGCACCTAAAAGAGCATAGCGAAAACAATTGGTGGCTGACTGCAAAGAAACTCAAATTCGATGCTTTTATGGCTAAAGCAGAATTACTGGAAATTGCTTATAAGAATTTGCCACCAAAGGAATACATGGCTGACAAGGCGGCTGGAAAGTGAGAGGGTGGAAATTGTTCGTATTCCTGTCAAACATTGTGTACTTAACCCAATCGAGCTAGTGTGGGCTGGTTTAAAAAACTTTGTTCGTAACCGAAATGTTCGATTTAGTCTCAACGATGTGGAATAGCTCAAAGAAAAAACAAACGAATGATTATCGTCCTTGGGTCCTGAAGATGTTGGATCTTATTTCGACCATGTTAAAAAACATGAAGAAATCTTCAAGGCAGCCGATAAAATAGCAGAAGAGATGGATAATGACTTAATCGATGACGATGATGCTGATAATAATCTAGTCGATATCGATAGTTCAGGCAGCGACTGAAAATAGTCTTTCTTCTCCATATACAGTCATACGAACGGAAAAAAGTGAAATATAGCATGATATTACGATTAACAATGAAAATAAAAATACCTAGACATGTTTAGCGGATGTGGACTACTTTTAAAGTGGAAATAAACATTGCCACGTTGATCAGCAGCATAAATTACCTATATGCTATATATTTCTAAAGAATTTGTAGTAAAAAAAGCGTTCATTTGGGTACCTGTAGGAAATCTGCGCCCCCTGCCAAACCATGCAATTTCATGAGTTCGCTTGACTCCCATTGTTTAGAGGACACTTGTAGCTACATACCCATGTAAAAAAACGACTACATTTCTATGAGACTTTCGAAAGTTCTGATCTGGTTTTCCAAAGATCTTCTCAAAAGCCAACTTGAAAACTTTTCCGAAACTCGCTTCCGCTTATAGAAACACGGGCTCCGGTCTCTAGTTTCTAAAACTGAAAACCGCACCTCTCTATCTATTACCTATCAAAAGTAATTCAAAAAGCAACCGATGCTCTTATATTTTGGAACGCATAGTAGTTTTCGTGTTCACCGAAAAAAAGTTTAGTAATTTTTTTTCCGGTACTAAATTAGTACTAAATGAATGCACATACTAAAGATTTTTCGTTAGCACTGGTTTTCGTACGCATCGAAAAAATCTTTAGTATTTAGTACTAATCTTGTGAGTGCTTTCACTACGGTGGCGATATCTGGTCAAATATTTATTTTTCGTTATTTTGAACGATTTCTTTTTGTTTACGTATTTTAGATGCTCAATTTTAATTGAACGTGCTAAACATCACAAGATTCATTTAGAACAAATTAAATCTTACATTAATTCATTTCGCCATGGTTGTCCTCCACATGCTGGCGGAGGGTATTGATTTGGAACGAGTATTAATGCTATATCTTGGACTAGGTAATATTCGAAAGAAATTAATGTTTTCAGGTGATCCAAAACGATTAACACCATAAATGAGATGACGTATCAGAGAACACGAATAACACTTGTTATGCTGTTATTCAGTTTTTTCATTACAATTTGGAATAAGTTGTGTTACGAAAAGAATAACTGTTTTTCTTTATTCGTGTTGTTTTAACTTACTATTAAAAAATTTGGCTGTGTTGTAAATGTCTCCTATTGACTCCCAATCTTATCTGATTGATAATATTCATGCTGGAAATTATATAAAAATGATGGATCTCATCTCATTTCTATGAATGAACTATCGGACAGTATTTTTAGAACAGCTATCCAGTCTTCCTTTTTCAGTCGACGAAAAGAAATCTTACAAAATTTTAGTGTGTTTAAAATGGATGCTCTGGTGATCTACACCAAAAGACTAGACTGAAACCTCTTAATTTTGAAAAAAACGTACAGCATACAATGTATACCAGAAAACGAAAGGACTAATCAATGCTGTTATGTTATTTGTCAACGATAAACTTTTTCCTATTGATAGGTGTCACATCCAGATTTACTCAACTTAACTTTTAACTTAGTTCGAATTAAAGTCATAAGTTATGACAATTTGATAAAAGAACAAAAAAAGACTTCATCGATTTATGATATTTTTAATCAGGACTTTTATGTAACAACTCCGTTTCGCTAAGTAATTTTATTTTTTTTCACTTTTCATTATTTTCAAATAAAGTTTTATTTTATAGTAAAAAGGCCCAATTATCTTTAAAAAGGAACGTTTCAAAAGTCAGATAGCTTTGGAGATATTGTTTTTAACATCCTTACTCTTAGGAGATTCTAAGTCCAGAAAATAAAATTTCCCGCTCACTGCCATGTAATCGTGTGATTCTTTGTCATATCCAACTGCAACCCTTTCAACTCCAGAATCTTTGTCTGTGGCCGAAATGAAATATTCGTTAAAGTATTTTGGCCATGGTCGACTGAAAATGATTGATAAACTAGTTCCAGACCGTAGATAGTCAGAGTGTTCAGCTTTAACTTCGACATATCACCGTAACTATTCTGTTGAACATTCATCGAAAGACGTGAATCAGACCATTTAAATGTTGCAAAGTAGTACTGATTTCGACCAACGGTATCGATCGAGTCTCCGTCATCGTAGAAGAGTTCACCTTCAGCAGTACCTGTAAAGTAAATGGGATAGGTTATTAAAAAGTTACTGACGAGTGTACAGAAAAAGACTTTCAATACGAGTATTGTAAGTTCTCAAAGCGTTTCTGTCTTTCAGCTGTTCCGTGATCTGAATAGGTCAAGTTAGACCTTTCCAAGTGCAAAAGAACTCACCCTGTGAATTCAATACAATTGTTAGTCCAAACGGTTTCTCCCTTGAATATTTTGTATTATTTGCACCTTCCTGTGTCGGTATGATATACCCTCCTCTCAAGAAGAGTGGTATTGTATCCAGATGTGCTGATACTCTGATTGTCTGTTGATTTTGTGTTATATGACGTCCATTGTAAAAGTTGTACCAATCTGCTGACGGAATGTAGACATCAACTTCCGTTGCACCACTATCTGTCACTGGTGCAATCATCAGAGCAGGGCCGACGAGAAATTGTAGAAAGAGATCAAGTGTGTTTATGTCTGTCGGGAATTCGTGGAAGAGCGCACGTACGACAGTTGAACCGACAGTGTGTGCACGATAGAAGAGAGTGTAGTAGTAAGGGAGTAGAGTGTAACGAATTCTCAAGGCATTAATCATGATGTCGACAGCAGGATCAGACCAGAAAGCAGGGTCCTTCGTAGAACGGAGAAATGATAAAGTTAAAGAGTTGCGGCTGTGAGAAAGGCCTATACCTGATCTTCAGTTCTCCAGATATTGTGATTACGTGAAAAGGGATAGAATGCACCAACTTGCTGCCAACTGGAACAAATTTAGGTGTATCAAGAAATAAGTTCGAAGTCCAAGAGAAGCCATTGATAGACGCTTACCGTATACACATTTCTTCTGACGGTGTCTTGTCGAAACCACAGATATCTGCGCCTGAGAAATATCAAAGTTTTTAAATCTGTTAGTCTTGCAATGAATCTTAGCATCTGTGCGCGAACTACATTCCTTACCTACATATGGTATTCCAAACCAATTCATCTCCACCATTCCAATCAAACTCCGTTTCAGTTCATGCCACGTCGCCTCATTATCTCCAAGCCAATGACCGGCCCATTGTCCGCTACCCACATAGGTTGAACGGGGCAACACGATCCCACGTTTCTTAGTGATTGATCGTAGAGCATCTAACGTTGGCTTAGTCTGACTCCAACCGTACAAGCTGCGTAAATAAAAGTATTGTATAGATATTCCGCTGCTTATTTCTGTTGGAAGTGAACTAAAAACTGACCTGTGAACATCGTAGTGTCTATAGATTCCATTTTCACCTTGATGTGGTGACATACACATTGTATGATCAGAGAGACGACTGGGACGTTGATTTTCTTCATTGTAACGATAGACAGCTTTTGTAAGGTAAGGCGGATCATCGTATTTGTTAACAGGACATTTTAGCTGGTTAGAAAAACAGAAATAGCGAGGAAAAATGCACGTACAAGTAAGTCTAGAGTTACTGTATAATTTGAACCGGTATCCTGCCAATTCCACGGAAAAGGCTCGTTTGTATTGAATAATGCTATAAGTAAAGGAAAATAGTGATTTTGAATCTTGAAATGGTTGGAAAAATTGCAGGTTACACTGAAGGAAACTAGTACTAAGTAAATTACCTTTAAACTGGACTGCACAAGTAAGCCACCATGTGGAAAAAAGATTCAACAAGGATGAATGACGTATAAACTAACGAACTGTTAGTTTATTGCACGATTGTATCTGATGGGCTCCTGCCGTTGTATTGTATGACTACTATATCATTGTTCGCTCAAATTTCAGCTGGAAATTGGCCCCGCTGAGAATCAGACAATATACGGGTAGTTTCTATACACTTGGCTTCAGACTTTTAGAATAAGTTTCTAGTAAAAGGCGCCGTGTGAGTCAATGTCAACGCTGAAGCAGAAATTTTCGCGTTACCCCATTATTGCTTATAAGAAAGGCTTCTGATTCTGAGTTTTACGTTTCGATGACTCGGTATTTGCTTTTCCGAACGTGAATGACGCAGTTTTGTGAAACTCCTTCAATATCTTCAGAGGAGAAGGAGTTGAAGTTTCATACTCAAAATCCCTAAGCTTTGATCAGCTTTTTAACCTCCGGGGGGGGGGGGGGGGGGGGGGGGGGGGGGGGGGGGGGGGGGGGGGGGGGGGGGGGGGGGGGGGGGGGGGGGGGGGGGGGGGGGGGGGGGGGGGGGGGGGGGGGGGGGGNCCCCTTTTTTTTAACACCACTAAAAAAAAACCGCGGCCCTCTGTTTTTTTTTTAAAAAAAAAAACACAAACCCTTTTTACCCTTTTTTACACACCCCCCCCCCCCCCCCCCCCCCCCCCGGGTGTGTTCATCTTACAATGGTGGTGTAATCATCTTAACAGAGTAGTGTATCTCTCATAAAGTATGCATCTTACGAGGAAACCACCGGAGGTTATAAATCGATTTCGGATTGGAACTATTTTTATTAGGAAGGCCCTAACGAGTAGTGAAATACCCCAAATTGGTTCATCCTGATGGTGCTTTGTTGCTGAAATGCTGAATTTTTTGTCAGTTACCTACAGAAAAAATTTAGTATCTCAGCACCAAAGCATCATGAGGATGAACCGATTTGGGGTATTTCACTACTCGTTAGGGCCTTTATGACAAAAATAGCCCCAACCCGAAATCGATTTATAACCTCCGGTAGTTCCTTCGTAAGAAGATACCTGCAGTTTTCGTTAAACTCTTAAGACTGCGAGATATTCGTCATTATAGTTAAAGTTTGTTCTTCTTATTATTGTAAGAAAAATTTATATCTACAATCTGTCTCCATCATTATGACTTGTTACAATAAATTAAGAATGTGTGATTTTTTATTGCAAACATCTCATAATATTTCAGACCTAAAAAATGTGAATGAATATTGTCCTCGTTTTCTATTTTCGTGTACACTATTCCCAACACCATCTTTCTGCTAATGTAAAGAGTTTCACCATTGCAGGCCCATAAGGGCTGCCCTGACAAGGCTTTTTAGCGAAATCTTTCACAAAATCTTTTTCCAAAAATGCGCTCGCTGATTTCAAAAAACCCTGAACTTCTCGTTTCTTGTGTATTGAAACACATGTAAACTCTTTTTTAAAAAAAGTAAACCACTTCATACTCACAGGGTTCATTCATATCAATCCATAGACCATCAAACGTTAGATTCACAGCATGAAAATCTGTGATCCATCTTGTCCACCATTGTTTCGTTCGGTTTAAGAAGAAATCTAACAAAAATGTCGTTGTTAGCATATAAGCATTCCACAGGAATGAGACAGATCTCTCGTACCTGGAAAATAAACGTCACCAGGCCAACAACTTCCTTTTATCGGACGTCCACTACCATCATCCCACTTAATAAAAACATCTTCCTTCATTCCAGTTATCGTCGGTTGATAATGCAGTTGATCATCAATAACTCCAGGATCAAGAATGATAATGGTATGTAGTCCCTTACTATGTAACCAATCATAGTATTCTTTCAGACCAACAAAGTCTTTAGGATCCACCGTGAAATCTTTATCAGCATCCATATAGTCAATATCAGAGTATTGAACGTCCAGAGGAATGCCTTTGTCGAGATTCCGTTGTACAACATTTTTCAAATGGGTGATGTTACCGTAGTCCCACCGACTGAGTTGAAAGCCGAGACCCCACTAAATGTAGAGAAAAGAAGCAGCCAGTTACTTACATTCTGAAAAATGTTGATCCGACTGTCTGTTTGGAACTTCATGCACAAAACGAGTGTGAAAAGAACCAAAATACTTACGTATGGTGGTAACATTGGTCGTCCAACCAACCACGTATACTGTTTCACAACTTCTTCCGGTTCTGGTCCCATGAAGACAAAGAAATCAAGTACACCGCCAATTGTACGTAGTGTTAAACTTGGCGTTGGTGAAAATGTATAGTCCATTGCATTTGAATTGAGAAAGAGAACACCGTGCATATTTCCCGTTGGCTGTGAAGTAGACGAATTTTGTTCCATAACCAGATAGAATGGATGTGTACCATAATGATTCGTATCTAGAGAGAAGTTTGTTGCTCCAAAAGAAAAAAATGAGATTTATCAAAAAACACACTTACTCGTTTTCGTGTTTGTACCTTGAATGATGACGAAGAAAAAAAAACAATATAAAGGTACTGTCTTCTCTCTGCTATTATTATCAGTTTTCGTTTGCTCTGTTCAGGAACTACACCCACTTCCTCGCTTCGAAAATCATCTTGTGGCTCTCAGTACTGCTTGAATCGAGCAACTTGCATGAAAAAAGGAATCACTCTTCAATTTACCATAACTAGCAGCAAATAAACCCCACGATGGACTATCCTTCACTTGATGTTTCAATGTATCGTGATTATTTTCACCAAATCCGTAGACATGGGGTGATTGCAGACGTGTTACGATCTGTAAAAACTGATCGGATAAAATGAGTCCACCCAAACTTGTATCAAAGAGAGCTTGTCCTGTTGAACGACGTTTAACGAAAAACGAGAGAAGGTTGTCATTAGATGAATTTGACGAGTATGTGAATTCGTAGGAGGGATTTTGAATTTTTGAGGATGAAGGTGGGTTCAGAGGAATCGGGACCTAAAGACAAAAAGATGACTAGATCTTTCTGACAAAGGCGCGTTCCATCCTGCAAAACACACCTCATAACGTTGTTTATCTTTATCATACAATTTAAATCTCAATATTTGATCGCTATAGTACTCTACATCTAAAATGACATTTTCAATTACATCAATTGGAAATGGACTCTGCACTTTGTCTGTCTTTTTCAAATACAGTCGCATTCCATTTTCACGATTTTCAGCTGATTGGAGTTCATAACCATAGTTCGGTGGTAAATAACATTGCGGTCGACCAGACTATAAGAATAGAATGACAAAAGTATAACCAGAGTTACAGTGAGCGTCCTTACCGAGTTAGCTGCATCAAATAAACAGTTTCGTGCTAAACATGCTTGTTCTGAAAACCCTGAATTCGGGTAAGCAGCTTCTGGAAAACAGTCTAATCGTTGTGAAGTTGTAGTCTGATCTTGCAGCTGTTGTACTTTTGAAGTTCTTATTGGAGCATGACGACGATGTGATTTTTGAGCTTGAACAGTATAAACGAGCAAAACGAGGAAACATGCATCGAAAAATATAGTTCGCCTTTTCATTGTTGTTGCACTTTATTAAACCAGAGAGTGAGTGATAGTTAGAAAAAAACAGAATGTTAGAACGCCATTTATCTATTTATTATAGGTTATTTGGTACAAAACAAGAAACATTTCTTCCTCCTTTGCCTTTGCAAGAAGAAGTAAAACACTTCAAATAAATATCATTTAACAGCAACATTTACTCTGGGATTACTTTTCTATTTCTAATTTTTGTTTGTCGTTGAGTGTGTAGTATCGAATATACTGGTAATAGTATACCAGTATATTGCTACCGTCAGTCATACACCTGGCGAGAGTATATATAGGAAGCATGTTTCTTCGTTTGAAGAAAACTATTAGAAAAGGATATATTCCTTCACGTGCTTATCCACGTGATATACACGTGTATATATATGTTGCGGATAAACTTCAAATTGGGTCAAATTTAAAATTCGGCCGGACAAACTTTAGATTTGACCTAATTTGAAGTTTGTCCTCAACATATACGGGCTAATTGCGCTGGTATATTGTACGGTTTGAATAAAAAAAGTCAAGAAAATAAACTCGCTTGGAAATTTTTTTCTTTATTCGGACTATATACTAGTATCATCAGGGATCACGAAATAAAAATTTCCCAACTGTCACTTTCTTTCGGAAACAATGAGCCTTTCGTCGGAGAGTCCAAAACCACAGTTATCGAAATTTAAAAAGAAAATTTTCCGAAATGCTTATAACTTTTGAATGAAAGGTGATAGAGATCTGTGGTTTCATTACATTCCAGTCTTTTTTCAAGATGTCACAGTGTGGTTTGAGAACGGTAAGCTTTAGCATTTTGCCCCGAATGGTGCACTATAGTAAACCTGATTGGGAGCCCTGATTTTTCCTTACGTATACGTCCTCTAATCCCCTCTTTCAAATGGCGAAAAGATCTGAAATTTTTTGTTATAGTAGTACTAATCGTCTGTTAATAACCCAGAAAGTTTCAGCTTTTTAACTCTTTCCTTTTGCGTGTTATCGAACTTTTACCGGCTTAAGGAAAAGCAATGTAATGTTTTCCACAAATTTCTTTCGATTAGCAAGATAGCACTGTTTATAATAATACTAAGTCTTTTCTATCCAACAGTACTACTCCCAGCTCAGATAAACCTCACTCACTTCTTGTAAGGAAGGTCATGATAAGTTTTTAAAAAAAATGAATAATCTCTTCCTAATTTTATTTATTTTTCTTTCACTAATTCGATGACGTTTCGACGATGAAATCGTCTTCCTATATAAACCTCATTCGTAAAAAGGATTCATTTTTTAAAAAACGTGATGTCGTGGAAGAGGTAACGTTTGTGTCTCCTTGTTGTGGTCCTATTACAAAACGGTTTTGAAAACTATCTGAGTTTGTAGATTTATAGTAAAAATATTTTAGTAGTTTTGATAATTTTCCAGTAAGTCACCAAAACTGACTCTTGGTGTAGTATGTACAGTGTACAAAACAATTTTAGTACAAAAACTAAATAGGAAGAAAGTTTCTTCCGCGAATAAATATGATATATTCTGACGTATAAAGGACAACTTGTTATATTTATCAACAAAATATCTTGGCTTGGGATATTTCGGTTGAAGAAAAAGAATTTTTTAAATTTGATATTTCGTATAACGGTATAGTATAAAGAGGTGCTATTAAAATAATTGTTATATTTTTGAAAGAAAATGAACTGATTCTTTGAGATTTATTCCTAATCTTAGTTGTGCAACAAATTGTGAAAATTTCATGAAAATCTGTGATAGTTATTCTACAGTTCCTAAAGCATTCGGTCGTATTTCTCGTGCAATAACTCTTAAGGCGATAGGATGTATTAGAAAAATTTTCATTCTTTTTCTGTCAGTTAAACAATAGACAAATATAAGATCGAATGAGCATGCAAATCTTATAAATAGCATTTGACAATCAAACGACGAATAGACGGAATTTTTAGCATTTTGTAGAAGTTTAAAAAAAAAATTCAAGTTCTAAGTTTTTCCTGAGGATGCTTTATGGACTTTCTAAATACAACAGGTACAGGATATGGCAAAGTTCTATTTGGAAGATCCGTGACATTCATCATCTTCTGAGAGGATTTAGAATTTGTTTTTTTTCATAAAACGATGAACATCTAAAAATGGTGTAAATCCTTTTCTTTTATCTTTTGTTTATCAAATGCTATGCTAAAGACTTGCATGCTCATTCGATTTCCTTACGATATTTATTTACATGATATATGCTTTGTAATGAAAGAATGATTTACATAATGATATAGGTCACAGCTCGAGTTAATGAAATAGTATACGAAAATATAAGAAATGATGAAACAGCAAATAGAGCTGTTGAATCGAATATGGAAATGGTACCAGAACCTGGAAGAGAGATAGCGTCAAAAAATACGAAAAAAGAAGTTGATGTCATTTTTGTATATTCTTCATTCCATCACAAATATTACGCCAATCCAAACAAAGCATACCACTATTACATTTGATACCAGTAAAACATAATGGTAGTTGATGTGGTTTATGTATCTGACTTTCCAATTGATTTTTTAACAAATAGGAAACTGTTTTGCCTTCTGGTCGTTCGTATTCACAAGTTGTGCCAAAGTATTTGTGAGAACAATTACAAATAAAACTGTTGAGAACGTGATTATTGTACTGTAAATATCGAGCATAATGACTAACAATATCCAAGGGAATTAACCAGTCAAGCAAAACTTCTGTTTTTATATGTTTTTCCTTTAATTCAGAAAATGACCACATTGTAGATACATTTTTTCAGCAGTTTTTATCCACTAGTTGTTGAATATTATGGATCGGTTTTCGACAATAGAATACATCTTTGTTTTCAAGCAGTCGTAATGATCGACAATTGTGTTATCCAGGGTAGAATAAAAAAAGCCATTCATAACTACGCACTAAGTAGATATTGATGAAAACAAGTTGTAAAAATTCCAAGTTCTTCATTATTTAAAATAAAAACGAACAATATCAAAACACAAACTGTCAGTATTGATTTGACTATTTTAGAGATTTTCAGCGCTGCCCAGAACCAAATGATTATGACATCAATTTTTCTCATCATCTCTGTACTACATAACGAGATGTCTTTAAGACTCGATTATTGTAGAGCAGGATTTCATTAAGTTTTTGTGTTTTAGATGATTGCACTAAATCATAAAGAAGCTGATAAAATGAGAAAATTTTCATAGTTTATAGACCTGAAGTACAGTTAAAAAGACTTTACTTTTCTAGCCGCAGACATTCAACATAGACTATCTTGAGCAAAAAAGATAGATTTATAGCTTTGTGCAAAGATGACCATTGTCTACAGAAACTTTCCACTATATTAAATATCTACTTTATAATTCAATAGTTGAATATTTAAAATGTTTTTTTTTTGTTAAAATCGTAATATTCTAGAAAGACTCTAGAATATTCAAATAAGATTTACAATGCCGGGTTATGCTGGGTACTAATCTTATTAACTCTTTATCTTATTCAAGTTGAATGGTTAATAGTTGACAACATTATAAAAATGTTTCCGATGTCCGAGCATACACCGTGAAGAGAGATTGTATTTCCATGCACTATTTTGATTTGTTTAGGAAAAAGTCCTGAGTTGCATTTTCGCTATTTTATTAAAATAATTGGTTATTTTGTTATAAAAAAAAGTACATTCTTTCGATGCTTCTTAATTGAAATCACTTTTATAATTACATACAATTTTATTTTATATTTATGATACAAATCCAATAGCCAAAACGATGATGTCAGTATTCCTTGCTTGAATAACAACTAGTACGAAATTATTGAACGATGAAATGTGTTTTACGTCATGCAAAAATATACGAGTGTGTGCTTCAATATGGTTCGATGTTAATGCATTCACCATAGCACACATGTTTGCAGTTAATAAATGTACTTCGGCGTCTGCACCAGACGCTAACATATATTTATCTTCAGGTAGTTTTGAAAATAGTTTTAATCATGAATCACGTACGACTGCTGCTATCACAGTACGATTTGATTGCAACAACTTGTTATATTTTTCTCCAGTTGGTAAAATAGAATCCTCGTTCATAATATATTGTACTGAACGACTACTGTGACGTTCAATAAATCTTTTCAATTGTTTACTATTAGCTGTATCAAAAATAATATCAATTCGGCTATGATGGTTAAGTTGACTTCTAATAAAGCGACTAATGAATTCCGAAGCATAATATTTTATTGGTTTTTCCGATTTACGTGTTGAAGATTGTTGTAATAGCTGACCACCATCAATTACTAGCGCTGAGCTGGCTGGATCGTGTATTTGATCATCAACTGGTAAAATTGCAGAATGAAATTTTTCACACAGCGTCATCATTTGAACTAATTTAAGCAGTGCTTATTTAAAACTTCGCCCTCAAGTAGATGTGCTATTCTCACGAGGGAACCGCCTGAGGTGCTAAAAATCTTTTTGAGTGGGACTATTTTTAAAATGTAGATCCTCATGGACTATGAAGAATCCCAACTTGGTTCGTGCGCAATCAGCTTTGTTGCTGAGATATCGA